CGGCAGTCGGCGACGCCACCACAACAACCATGGAGGATGAAATGCCCAAGACCCTGTGAGTGTGGAGGGGGCGAGACCGCCTATTGTTCACGGCCCCGCGGGGAGGGGCGGCCCCGGGCTCTCCTCAGCGCGGCCGCGGCCTGGCGATCCGAGCTCCGCGGGACCCGGGGCCGCCTCAGAGCGAAGGGAGCGGCCTGGGCCTGCTGCAGGCTGCGGGGCCGGCCCTGAGGGGCCTTGTTTGCCCGCGCTGTTCCCCCCTCATGGTTCATCCTGCCCTCCCCCCTCCCCCCCCCCGAGGCCTTTGTAGCCCACATCTCCCAGCCCCTTTCCCGCTTCAGATGTGTCTTTTTCCCGTGCTTTGCTCCCCCGTACATCTCTGAGAGCATCCAACCCCTGTGCGCTCCTGGGCCCTGCGTTGTTTTACGGCTGTCAGCTCGCAGAGCTGGGGGGCTTAAAGCTGCTTAGCTCCATAAGGATCGGTTCAGCATAAGGGGTGGCCAGCAGGGACAGGGAGGTGATCGCCCCCCTCTGCTCTGCTCTTGTGAGGCCCCATCTGCAGCACTGCGTCCAGGGCTGGAGCCCCCAGTACAAGAAAGACAGGGAGCTGTTGGAGAGGGTCCAGAGGAGCCACAAAGATGATCAGGGGGCTGCAAAGACAGGCTGAGGGAGCTGGGCTTGTTCAGCCTGGAGAAGAGAAGGCTGCGGGGTGAACTCACTGCAGCCTTCAGCACCTAAAGGGAGCCTACAAACAGGAGGGGAGTCAGCTCTTTGAAAGGGTGGATAACTGCAAAACAAGGGGAAATGGTTTGAAGTTGAGGGAGGGCAGATTTCAGTTGGATGTCAGGGGGAAGTTGTTTGCTGTGAGAGCGGTGAGGTGCTGGAACAGCTGCCCAATGAGGCTGTGGATGCCCCGTCCATCCCTGGAGGTGTTCAAGGCCAGGTTGGATGGGGCCCTGGGCAGCCTGGTCTGGAATGAAATGTGGAGGTTGGTGGCCCTGCATGTGGCTGGGGGTTGGAGCTTCGTGATCCACGAGGTCCCTTCCAACCATTGGCCATTCTTTGATTCTCACAGCCAAGGGAGCAGCTAACGGTGGCCATAGGGCAGCTCCCTGCCTTGCTAAACTCACAGAGCTCCTCTAATTACAGGGAACTTTCTGGCCCCACTCACACAACTGACGCCCATTGCTGTCAGGAGGTGTTTGGGCTTTGGTGGAACACACAGGGACGAGGTGCTGAGCTGAGGTGTGCAGCTCTCTCCTTAGCCTGGCAGGCACCACCTGCAGTGATTCCCCTGGAACAGACTGCACAGAGAGGCTGTGGATGTTCCATTCCTGGAGGTGTTCAAGGCCAGGCTGGATGGAGCCCTGGGCAGCCTGGTCTAGTAGCAGATCTGAAGGTTGGTGGCCCTGCCTGTGGCTGGGGGTTGGAACTTGATGATCCTCAGTGTCCATTCCAACCCAAGCCATTTTATGATCATTGAGAGGGGGGGGGAAAGGATCTTGCCAAAGCAGGAGGAAAGTTTGCCCCTGGGTGACTTGAGGAAAACAAGGTTCTTACGTGACTTGTGCCAGCTACTCTGTTTTGGGCACATGCATGATCCTGTTGTCCTTAAACTATTCTTAGCATCCACAAACATGGGTCAGACCTGTTGGCATGCCGGTGTGTTTATTTAGCAGAATGTTTTCCCCCTTCCCCCTAGTGAAATTGTTGTCTGCAGGCCAGTGGTCTCAGCAGAATGCAGCTCGTGCTCTAGGGAATGAATTCTCCATCCTGCAGCACGTGTTGCACAAGCACGACAGCGTTTCTGCTGAGCTGGCTGTTGAGCAACATGCCAGGAGCTGCCTTTCTCCGAATAGTGACGTTCTGGAGTCACACACAGGGATTGTCACAAGCTGAGTTACGCAGTGTGAGGTTCAGATGGATTTCTTGGAAGGCTGAAATGCAGCTGCATGCCGGCGTGGCTCTGAAATGTGTGTTAATGGTGTGATTGCCGAGCATTTCTATAGGAAGTGCTGGTGGAAATGAGGTCCTGTTGGTGTGATGTCCACGTAACCCGTTTCTTGCAGGGCAGAAGTCAGTACTTGGGTATTCAGGCGGACATTATGGGCCATATTAGCCATGGAAATGTTTTCCTGGATAAACAGCACTTTTCACGTGGCCAGTTACCATCTTCGAAAGCCACTCTCCAGCAGTGATGAATGCAAGGGGCGGTTACAGCTCAGTGTTTTTGAACTTTACAAAGAGCTCTTGTTTGTAGTTTACCCATATGCTTCTCGAATACGTGCACTTTGGACTTGTTTTGTGTTTATAAAAAGATGAGGGAGTGCAAACACCCACTAGTTTGGGAGAGCTTTTCAAGAAGACGTAGATCAGCCTGCCCTGGATGAATGGAGTTGTCTGCGTGGTTTGCCTTGCGTGTGACCTGCAAAGAAGCAACGCCTGAGAATCCAAATAGCATAAAACAGAGAGGGGAAAGATGCAGGAAGACTTGTGCAGGAGAGATCCCTGCTGCTGGTGGGACTGGCCCCAGTCCCATTGCCTGGCAATTATTTCTTAAGCAGTGGTGCAGTCCAAGGTTCAGGTTGGGAGAGCAGAGCTGCAAAGAAACTTGCAGATGCTTATTGAAGCTTGAGTGTGTCTAAATCACTTAAGTGCAGCACAGAGAGCGTGGCTTAAGCTTGCTGCTGAGTACATGGGGGGGAAAACAGCCTGCTTTGTTGCTCAAGGGGGTGCAGCTCTGTGTTTTTCCCCTAAATCCAGGCCCACTTGGTGGTATTGCGGTGCTTTTATTGTGGTTTGGCAGCTTGTGGGTTGGAGAAAGCTCTTCAGACAAGCTGCCACGCAGAGCGGGCAGCAGAGGCGTGTAGGATCCCTAACGTGTAGTTACACAGGTCATAATTACACATATGTGTACATATTTATCTCTGCATACGTGTGTGTTATTGCATTTTGAGAGGACTGCAGTCGTGCAAAAATTTGTGGTACTCCCAAGCGATCTGTTAGCCAAATCCTCTGCTTTCCAGCTAAACCCAACCTGCAGGCAGGAAATGCTTCATGCAGCAGCTGCCTGCTTATCGAGGTGAAAATGCAACCTTAGTGCAAAGGTCGTGGCACAGACCTGCACTTACAAGAAAGCTGCTGTAAGCTCAGCCCTAGAAAAATCACATGAGAGCGTGTTGCTGCGTGGTGCCTCGGCTTATTTATTATCCACACCATGCTAATGTTTAAAAAGGGAGAGAAGAAGAGCTCCTGCTAGTTGTGGCTCTTGCATCAAGAGGGTTGCTGGTTTATTGACATGCCCTTAAAATCACTTTTCTCTGCATCCCCCTCCGGTAGGAACATCTGCACTTCTAACCTTTCCTTCCACCTTACAGATACGTGGGGAACCTGTCCAGAGATGTGACAGAAGCTCTGATCCTCCAGCTGTTCAGCCAGATTGGACCATGCAAAAACTGCAAAATGATAATGGATGTAAGAGACTTCAGTTAATTATTATTTCCCCTCTCCTTATAGTGAATGGCCTTGGGTCTTCTTTGTGCCTTTTGGGATCCTTCTGGCAATACGATGTGACCAAGTTCTGGGGATGTGATGGGGGTGGGAGGTCACCATCACAAACGTGATGTTTTCTGATTCATACCTGATACTATTTAAGAATGAGTGGACATTCTGAAAGGGATAGGACAAGTTAATAACATACAGATATTGTAAATTAAATTGAAAAAGTTCTTTTTGGCCAACTTTTACCTTTTTAAAGTGGAGCTGAATGCCCATGGAACGTTGTTAGTGTGCTGTGTGTGGTCTTGGCCTGCAGTAACAAAGCCAGTTCGTTTGGAGCTGTTCAGATTTCATGGATAAGGCACTGAGAGTGATAATGAGGAGGCAGTTTGAAGGGCTGGTGGTCACAGATCTTTCTCTTTTCTATCAGACAGCTGGAAATGATCCCTATTGTTTTGTGGAGTTCTATGAGCATCGCCATGCGGCTTCGGCACTGGCTGCCATGAATGGCCGGAAGATAATGGGTAAGGTAAGCTGTCATGTCTACAGGGTGAGTTGGAGCTGGAGAGCACGGGCTGTCTCAGCTGGTGTGGGATAATGGCACTTGAGAGGAAGTGGATACACTGCAGATGTTAGGCACTTCATTGAACTCCCCACTCCCTGCAAGAAAAACCCCACCCAGCCAAGCAAAACCCACCCAAGAAATGTGTCTTAAATAGAAGCTTTCACCCAGCTTGCATGCCTGGCTTCCCCGTAGCATCAGAACAAAGTGCTGGTGGTATCTGTGCTCAGCTGTGACGTGCTTGATCTAACTGATGGCCAACTGATGTTTGCAGGAGGTCAAAGTGAACTGGGCAACGACTCCCAGCAGCCAGAAGAAAGACACGAGCAGTAAGTGTTCCTCAGGCATGGATTGATCCTTTCATTTGCACGGGTAGTTTTGAAACATAAACCCTCTGCATCATACAGTTACACTCAGTAATGTTTTGTTCATAATCCTGAGATGATATTGGATGTGTTTGTGTTAATGAACTTAAGAGCAAATGTAATCTTTGTCATCAGGTAGTACCGTTGTCAGCACACAGCCTTCACAAGGTAATTGTATCTTCTTAAACATAGAATGAAATCTCTCAAGGGTGTTCACTGACCACCCAAAGTCCTTCAGTCTCAGTTCACTTGCACACGGATTCACACACACTGAATTCACGTGGTGTAATGGCTGAGCAACCAAAACTGTTGGTTCAAATTCTTTAACAGCAAACTGTTGCAATGCAAAGTGTTGATTTGTTCTACACATCCTGTGGTATTCAGTTGGGCATCTTAGCTAGGTTCCAAACATGTCCTGCTTTAGAATGCCTGATATCCTTTTTTCTCTTTTTCCCCAAAAGACCATTTCCATGTCTTTGTTGGAGATCTCAGTCCCGAAATTACAACTGAAGATATAAAAGCAGCTTTTGCGCCGTTTGGAAGAATATCGTAAGTAATTGGATAGGATAAATGAACTAAAAGTTCTCTCTCTCCTAAATGGAGGCAGCCTCTTATTTCAGTAAGTAAAAACCAAAAATTGACCCAGTGCAGGAGAACAAATTCATCTGTTCATACAGCACCCGGACTCTGAATGGTTGAGCATTAAGCAGGGCTGTGTAAAGAGATTTCTTTCTAGAAGCTTCTTCTGCTTTCCTAGAAAGGTTGCATACGACATGCTTTGGTTTCATACTCCTCACATTGTTTAGCAAAGCAACACTGGAAAAAAATGATTCCTGAATGTGGGGTTACACATTTAACTTGCCCTCTCTGCAGTCACGTCAGCATCACGCTGTATGGTTTGTGAGTAAGCCTGTTTGCATGCTCACACCTCATGAGGCCTTGGGTTTTCACCAGCAGCAGCCATTCGTGGCAGTTAAGTTCTTTCCCCCCCCCCCCCCCCCCCCCCCAAAATGAACCCTTTTCAGCCTCGTGGCACCCAGAGGCTGCAGCTCCAGTGGCCTCCAGGTGTTTGGCCAAAAGCAGGGGGCATCTTTGATCCTTGGAGTCACACTCATGGGCTGCACAGAGCAATGGTGTGACAAGAGAACGTGTTATCAAGGGGGAATGGTGGCTGCAGCTCTGCCTGCCAGTCTGTTGGACTCAGGGTGTAGCAGAGTAAGGAGCAGTTCGTTCTTTCCATCCTCCAAATGTAAACCATTAATTTTCCTTGTAGTGTTGTCTGTACTGGACATTGAAGTTTCTTGATGGTGATGTAAGAGAACGTAGAGTGCTTTGGAGTGTTGTGTAGTGCAGCCTTTAATTGAAGTAAGTTTGTTTTTTTGTTTTTCCCTCAGAGTCCAGTGTGTTACTCTTGTTAATGCCAGCTTGATTTCCTCTTTGATACAATTAAGAAAAACCATGTGATCTGAATGTCACTCGCTTCAGAGAACTCTAAATCTTGACTAATATCCCTTAGGAAACTCAGAGGGTCAGACTCCTAAGCAGAGTCAGTTTATCCTCATGGCCAAATGCAATGTGGAAGGAAGGGCCGAGGGACTCTAAAATGGGTTTGCACTGGCACTTTGCTGCTGGAATGAGTAGGAAAGGCAGGGAGCAGCAGGCAGCTGCGTCGGTGTGAATGTGGTAGAGCTATGAAGGAATTTCCCCTAGCTGCTTCAGCTCTGGGTTCCTCAGGTGCCTTCCAATAGACAGGCTTCTCCAGCAAACACAACCCCCAAAAGCAAAGCCCTTTAGGACACAGCATCAGGACTCTTTCCCAGCTGGGGTGGGGAGAAGGCAAGCAAGCTGCTGCTCTTGGGGTGCTCAGCACGCAGCTGTAGAGCTAGCAGGCTGAAAACTTGGCGACTTGCCCTGCCTTAAATGGCCTTAAATGGACAGGCCAAAAAGAAATCATCCCTGTTACGACTCTCTGAAAGTCCTGTTCCCAAAATGGAGGGGGTCAGGGAGAGCAGAAGGGGCCTTGGTTTTCTGTTGGTGGAACTGAACCCAAAAAAGCACTGCTGCCATCTCATCAGCAGTCGATTGAAGCTATTTGACCTAATCAGTGACTTTCTTTCTAGAAATGTGCTAATGGAATATTTCCTGATTTATTATTATTTTTTTTAACGTTGGTGTTAAACTGAGCTCTTTTTTTATGTGTGTGTGTGTGTATATATATATATATATGAAACCAAGGTTGAACTACTGCATGATTAGCACATAAAGAAATGTTGGTAATTCATTGCATCTGAACTTTTTAATCACTGTAAAAGCACACATTCACTGTGGTTTCCTTTTCTGCTTACTGTACGCATGTTTTCACTTGTTCTCAAGTCTTATTTTCAAAGTTTTCAGTTGAGGGTAAGTAGAGATGAGTTCTTCCCTCCCCCCTCCCTCTTTAGGCTGTTGAGAGCAAACCAGCTAAGAGTACCAGCGTGGCTCTTCTCAGGCAATTTGTCCTACCCAAATTCAGACCAGGAAGGAGAAACGAAACAAAAGGGAGGGGGGAGGTGTTGCAAACAGAAAAGAAATAACACTGCTGGCGGTGGAAGAGGTATTTTCCTCGGGTCAGTGCTGTAGGCTCACATGTACCACAGTGAGCTCATGATACAGCATTTGCAGTTACTGTGAGGCTTAATAAAGTGGTGTAACAAACCCCCTCTTCATTGTGACTCCTCTCGCCAGTCTCGGAATGCTAAATGTTGTGCCCATGTTACACTAGTTTTTCTGAACCCTATCATGTTATGCAGACCTAAGTTCCATTGCATGACTTGCTGACTGGTTTTCTGTTTTGCTTTCTGTTCTTTAATGCTTGTTACGTGTGGGGGGGAGGAGGGGTGGCCTGGAGAGCATCCCAGCCCCTGGCTAACCTGGACACAAATTGCCTGAGAAGTGCTGTAGAGTGGCTTTCCATGAGTGGGGGTTTAGCTCTTGTAGCTGGGTTCTCTTCTTAACTCAATCTCAAATAATAGGGCTCTGGTTATTTTGCAGAGTGTCTCTGAAGAATGGACAGAATTGCCATGGCTAACTACAAGCTACAGTTCACAGTGGACAAACGTTGTAGTTTTCTTATTTACTTTTATAAATATTTTCTTTTTTTTTTTTCCTTCTTTTTTTATTTTTTAATATCTTGTAGTTTCCAATCAGTCCTGTATGATTGCTATTGTACAAATGCACTTTGAATTATTTGTAATGTGTAGTTTAAAACGTAAATGTTTCGGTGTTTTCTTCAATAATTTCTGAAAATGTCAATCTCTCAAAATTTACAGCTGCCCACAGTCCCAAAAGGGGGTAACGAATTGACCAGAGAAAATTAAAGAATTCAGTTAACAGGCGACGTATGCCTTTTAATTCCTCTCTTTTTCATTTTTTCTATTTAATATTTTGAATGAGTAGGTAGAATGTGTTGGCAAAGGAGCTGAGTGTAACGATTGCATGGTTAAAGAGAGCCATTCAGCTAATGTTAGTGGCTTAAGTTATCCTTTGGAATAGCTGCTTTGACCATGCTTTGTGCTTTAACAGTATGTAAAAGCGTTTTGAAGCGGAAACAACTGTCGTAAAGTACCTACCTTTGTTAGAGAAGCTATTGATTTGCATGTTTACGAAATTAAGTTTAATTTTGCTACCACCTGGCAAAGCAGTAGTAAAGTTCTGTATAGAAACCAAGCCGTTTGCTTTGACTGTGTTGCTGGTGCAATAAACAGTTGACTTTAGTAAAGGTGAAAGGTGAAAATGAGCTGTAAGTGTGACTCGAGTTTAGTCGGGCTGGCTTTGTGAGGTGCTGAACTGGCTCTTGTTTCTGCTTTCTAGAGATGCACGGGTGGTTAAGGACATGGCAACGGGGAAATCTAAAGGCTATGGCTTTGTCTCCTTCTTCAATAAATGGGTAAGCTGTGGCACGGTCTGGAAATGGGGGGGGAATCTTCAGTACATGCTGCAGAAAAGGAGTGACTTTGGTCCCCATCTGCTCCTGGCTTCTCCAGGAAGGAAACTTTCTTAGTTTCCCCTCGTGCTGAGGGTAAGGATGGCTTTGTAACCCGCTGATTCTTGTGGGTGTGAGAGGTGGGGAAGAAAACCAAGCAGTGAGCCTGGATGGAGGGTTGTGCTACTCAGGCATTCCTTCTTGACCCTGCAGACAAATTGTAGGGTCGTTCAGAGCACAGGGCATGTATTTGGCTAATATCACTGGTAACATTGCCTTCCAACCAAAACAGCCAATGTAATATCATACACTGTGAGTGGCAGAAGTAAACTAGCGAGTTGCATGTGTATCATGATTAACTTGGTAAGAAAGCTGAGCTGAGTGGTCTTTTAATAACTATAAATATTAATACATAAATAAATAATAAGTATAGAATCAGAATCGTTTGAGTTGGAAGGACCCTTAGAGATCACCTGGTTCCAACCTCTCTGCCATGGGCTGGGACAGTTTGTGCTACACTAGGTTGGTCAAAGCTCCATCCAGCCAGACCTTGAGCAGTTCCAAGGATAGAGCATCAACAGCTTCTCAGGGACTTGATTTAGCAGAGGGTTGTTAGAGTTAGGGTAGTATGGTTAGGTTGTGGTTGGACTTGATGATCTTTAAGGTCTTTTCCAACCTGAGTGATTCTATGATTCTATGATTCTTGGTTAGCAATATTGGTAATGCTCAGGCTTCCATGGTGACCCAGCAGTGTCTTTGTGGAGTGAGTATTTTTTCTCTCTCTTGTGGACAGGATGCAGAGAATGCTATTCAGCAGATGGGCGGCCAGTGGCTTGGTGGAAGGCAAATCAGAACAAACTGGGCAACGAGAAAACCTCCAGCTCCAAAGAGTACATACGAATGTGAGTGTTTGCATGTGCAAAAGCAAACCTTATACCACAAACCAGGGAGGAAGAGAGAATTGTGAGCTCCAGGCATTTGGCAGTTGTGGGAGAGGGGAAAGTGGGTGCTCAAAAGCAAAGATTCTTGATTCAAAACGGTGAACAGATCAACTTCCTGAGCTAAAACAGCTGTATTTCCACTGCCACCCAGGGCTTCCTGCTGGCTCTGCATGCTCTGGAAAGCTGCTCTCTGTCAGGACAGCTGGGGTTGTTTTTGAGTGGGGTTGTTTTAACTTCTCCCTTTTGGACTATGGCTTCCTTTTGTGATACAAAGCCAGCAGGGCTATATTAAAGCATTTCCATGAGAGAGACTGGAAATTAGGCGTATCTTGATAAGCTTGACATGTGAACTTAACTTCACAGCAGTGTCCCTGTCAGTAGCAGCCCATCCTAATTAGGAACGGGTAGCTGTGGGCAACCAGACAAACCCAAGTGAAAATGCTGACTGTGCTCACAGCATTTATCACCAGCTCTGTCAGCATGATTCCTCACTCTTAGGATGGGATCAGAACTGCTCCATGACGTGTGTGTGATGAACTGAAAAACTCTTGCAAATCTCTTTTAAGCAAACACCAAACAGCTGTCTTACGATGACGTGGTCAATCAGTCCAGTCCCAGCAACTGCACCGTGTACTGTGGAGGTGTCACTTCAGGCCTGACAGGTATTGTGTCCCCAGAGCACGTTGTCACATGGAATGACTCCGGATAACGCTGTGTGACCTCATGTTGGTGTTGTGCTGCTTCTTGTTGCAGAGCAGTTAATGCGCCAGACCTTCTCTCCATTCGGACAGATAATGGAAATCCGAGTCTTCCCAGATAAAGGCTACTCCTTTGTACGGTATGCTGTCATGCACTCACACAACAAGTGGAAGAATTTAATAAAAATGAGTGGCTGTATGCCTAACTAGAGGGTTCTAACAGCAGGATTCTCAGCCTGGCTGTAGTACTTCCAGTATCGTTCCTATTGGCACCCAACAGGTTTAATTCCTATCTATCCCAACAGGTTTAATTCTCACGAGAGCGCCGCACACGCCATCGTTTCTGTCAATGGGACAACTATAGAGGGCCATGTGGTGAAGTGCTACTGGGGGAAGGAGACGCCTGACATGGTCAGCCCAGTGCAGCAGGTCAGAACTGCTCCTCCACTCGTGTCAAAAATGGTTGTGTGACATTAGTCCTGAATAGAAACCTGCTGAGTGGCTGTTGTTGCGTGTGGTAGTTTGACGTGGGGTTGCTCTTTATTTCATCACTGGGTGTTTCTCTAAAGTGATTACAAATCCTTTGAAATTTTATTAAGGAAAAAATGGTGAGGTAAAATTTTGAAGCAGGCTTGCTGGAGGCTGTCCTGCACATGGCATATCTTTGTGCCGTGGAAGGAAATGATGCTGCTGTTCCTCTTTCCTGGGCCTCAGTGAGAAGGCTCTGGGCTTTGAGAAAGCAAAGACCCCACGCAGTTCATTAGCAAAGCACTGGGGGGGGTCTTTAGTAATGAAACACGCTCTCCGAAGAGTGTCCTGCTAGATATGTGTTTCCATTTCAGTGTTATGTCACTTGTAAGCTTCCAATCCAAGGCAAGCGTGCAGGCACGGTGTGTTGTGAGCAGATGAGCTGTGTTCTCAGGCAGTGCCTAACACATTTTCTCCTTGCAGAATCAAATTGGATATCCTCAGGCTTACGGGCAGTGGGGGCAGTGGTATGGCAACGCACAGCTGGGGCAGTACGTGCCCAACGGGTGGCAGGTCCCCGCCTATGGGATGTACGGGCAGGCGTGGAACCAGCAGGGCTTCAAGTGAGTACATGCTCCACACTTTCCCATGCTTGAAGTCACGTCCCAGGGATTTTCCTATAAGGGAGGTGATGTTCTGAGGCTGCAGCTTGTGAAGTTGTTAGGTGTAGCAATGCTTGTGTTATGCAAATACTGAGGAATAGGAGAGCTCTCCTCGTATACCTTTGTTGGGGCAGCAGAGGATGAATTCTTATTTCCTATTCAAATTATTTTCCAAACAATGTTGAGCTTTGGCACATCGCCGTCTGGCCAAATGTGGAGCCTGCTCATTGTGCTGCCAGTGTGAAATTGTTTTGCTGTTGTCACTCAACACTGGTAATGGCTATCTCAGATTATAGAATCATCATAGCATGGTTGGGTTGGAAGGAACCTCAGGGATGACGAAACTCCAATTTCCCTCCAGCAGTCAGGCCTGCCAACCTCCACGTTTAATACTAGAGCAGGTTGCACATCCATCCTGGCCTTGAATACCTCCAGGGATGGACGGGGCATCCACAGCCTCTCTGGCAGCTGTTCCAGCACCTCACCGCACTCACAGCAAACAACTTCCCCCTGACATCCAACTGAAATCTGCCCTCCCTCAACTTCAAACCATTTCCCCTTGTCCTGCTGTTATCTCCCCTTCCAAAGACTTGACTCAGATACTAAATGCAAAGGGAAGGAAGGGACACAGAACACTTTTAAGCAATAGTAGCAGAGGCCTTCTGGGGTCTGCCTGCCTTGATACACCACAACCAACAGAGAGAAACTGCTTTGTGGGGTGTGGATCTCCGGATGTCCCTTCCATCTCCTACAATGTGTCATTCCTTAACACGCTGTTTCTCCCCCTACAGTCAGACACAGTCATCAGCAGCGTGGATGGGAGCAAACTACAGCGTGCAGCCCCCACAGGGGCAGAATGGCAGCGTGCTGACAAACCAGGCCGGGTACCGAGTGGCAGGATTTGAGACACAGTGAGAACCCAACGCTGCAGCTGGGTGCTGGTGGGGCTCGAGCAGCATCACAAAGATGTGTCAGATCAAGTCAGTGCAAGCATCAGATGCAATGTATTTATTTAAGAGAGAGAAAGAAAGAAAGAAAAAAAAAAATTTTTTAATCGTGAAGTTGTCATCCACGTTGTTTAAAAAAAACAAAAAACAAAAAACACAAAAAACGAGATGCTGGATGTCTGCCAACCATTGCCTTCTTTTCCTCTTTTCTAGATGTGTTTCTTAACGATCCACTGTTGAAACACAGCAAATTGCAGGGACTACTGCCACTTAAACTTGGGGGCAGCAAATTGCACAATGTCAAACTTGTTGTTTTGTTGTTTTTGTTTTTGGTTTTTTTTTTCCTCGGGAGCAGCGTGCGGTTGTGGTTTGCATTCCGAACGATTTACAATGTATTATAAAAGCTGTTGTACAAAAAAAAAAAAAAAAAAAAAGCCAAAATTGTGTGGGTCCTGGAGGCTCTCCGCCCTCAGCTTCTGCACAGCCCTCTTCTCAAAGAGCCTCTTGTACAGAGCGTCCATCCCTCCCCTCCCATCAGAGCGGCTCTTTTGGAGGCCGGGTTCTTAGTTTACATCGTTTTTCTACCCATTCATTTGTTCAGCCTTTGCCTTACGACCTCCATTCCCCCACCCTGCCATCAGTGCCCACCAACCCAACGTTGCATTGTGTGAATGGGTGCCTCCATCACACTGATGGCAGAGAAGTCCCCATCTCTGCTGCTGCAGGAAAATACCCCGTTACAACTCACTTAAAATGTGACGAATTCTACCAACCAGCTCCTTGGTTTGTTGGTTGTTGGTTTTTTTTTGTTGTTTTTTTTTTTTTTTCCTTTTTAAATCGATTTCTACATTTACATGTACTGATTATGTAAAATATTTTAGCAAATTAATATTTTGCACAAACATAGCCGACTTTGTACGTTTCCTTTATTTAAAGGTAGGACGCCGAGTTCTTGATTTATGCATATATATATTATTAATTTTTTTTTTTTTTTTTTTTGCATGTGGATATCAAATATACACTTTGGTAGTCTTTGAATACAAAGTCATCCTCTCTTTGTTTTTAAGAAACTGTTTAAAAACAACAAAACAAAACAAAAAAAAAAGCAAACAGAAAACCCCTCTATGGAGCCATGTGATGTGACGTGGAGGTTCCAGGCTGGGGGAGCAGCTGGGAAAAGAGTTTCTCGATGTTCAGAGGCCAAAAGCGATCTTTCTGTGCTACCTCTATGAGCAGCCTTCAAAAAAAAAAAAAAAATGCAAAACAAAAACAAAAAAAAAAAAGAAAAAAAAAAGAAAACAACAACAAAAAAAAAGAAATCAAACCGAAGTTTTGTGTGCTCTCGTTTCTTTACCCGATGGTTCCGGGGTGAACTCAGGCGTGGGGGCGGGCGCTTGATTTTGGGGCGGAAAGGTCGGGAATGGGTTTAATTAGAACGGGGGTGCCGAAATGGGGTGGGACTGCGCATGCGTGCTGGCGCCGCCGTGGACTCCATCTCCCAGCGACCCCTGCGGCGCACCCACGTGATCGCGGCGGTCCAATGGGAGCGCGGCGGCGGGCGGGCGGGCGCCATGGCGGAGGTGGGGCGCTGAGCGGCCTCGCGGCCGGGTTCGGGCCGGAGCGGGGGGCGCGCGCCGCCGCCCAGGTAAAAAGGAAGGGAGGGGGGAGGGGGGAGGGGGAACGGAGCGGGACCCGCGCCCGCGGGACAGGAAGTGACGTCAGAGGGGCGGGGGGACGGAGGGAAAGGGCCGGCGGGGCGGCCCCTGGCGGCGGGGGGCGACGTCACGGCGACGCCGCTGCGGTGACGTCACGCGGCGATGGGCTGAGGGGAGCGGGCCGGGCCGCGGGGGGGGAGCGGGAACGGTTTGGTCCTGGGCCGCTTCACACGGCGGGGCGGCCGCCGGCAGCTCCTCCTCCGCTTCGTCACGGGCCGCCGGGGCTGCGTGAGGGAGGGGCGGGGGGCCGTCGGACGTCGGTCGGAACGGAGCTGTGCGGTTCTGCGGCGCCGCGGTTCCCTCGGCTCCTACGGCTCTGTGCTGTCGAGGGGGAGCGGTTTTAAAGTGAGACAGGGCGGGTTAGGCTGGATGTTAGGAGCAGGTTTGTCACACAGGGAGCTGAGGCACTGGAACGGGTCACAGAATCACAGCGTACAGAACGGCGGGGCTGGGAGGGACCTCGAGGATCACGAGGCTCCAACCCGCTGCCACACGCAGGGCCACCAACCTCCTCGTTTCACAGCAGCCCAGGGCCCCATCCAACCCGGCCTTGAACAGCTCCAGGGATGGACGGGGCATCCACAGCCTCTCTGGGCAGCTGTTCCAGCACCTCACCACTCTCACAGCAAACAACTTCCCCCTGACATCCAACTGAAATCTGCCCTCCCTCAACTTCAAACCATTTCCCCTTGTGCTGCTGTGATCTAGCCTTTCCAAGAGTTGACTCCCCTCCTGTCTGTAGGCTCCCTTTAGGTGCTGAAGGCTGCAATGATTCACGCCACAGCCTTCTCTTCTCCAGGCTGAACAAGCCCAGCTCCCTCAGCCTGTCTTCGTAGTGGAGTTGCTGCCCCTTGATCCTCTTTGTGGCTCCTCTGGATGCTCTCCAAAAGTTCCCTTTCTCGTACTGTTGCCCAAGGAGGCTGTGGATGCCCCATCCCTGCAGGCATTCAAGGCCAGGCTGGATGTGGCTCTGGGCAGCCTGGTCTGCTGGTTGGTGACCCTGCACATAGCAGGGGTTTGGAACTGATGGTCACTGTGGTCCTTTTCAACCCAGGCCATTATGTGATTCTACAATCCTGTGGGTCCTTATGGCACCTCGTGGGTCCCTGTGGCACCCCATGGGTTCTCAGGGCAGCCTGGTCTTTTGGTTGGCAACCCTGCACATAGCAGGGGGTTGGAACTGGATGATCATTGCGATCCTTTTCAACCTAGCCCATTCTGTTGGCTCCGTGATCACCAAGAAGCTTGGCAGCAAGGCAAGCAGTGGGGATGTGGGACGATGCATCCATCACATACATGTGTGCAGGCACGCAAAAGCTTTGCATCACTTTTATCCCATGCATCCCGTGCAGCCTGCATACGTGCAAGGCGGGGAAGTGCTGACTTCCCATAGTTGTGGCACTCAGCCGCCTTCCCTCTTCTGTTCCTCTCAGCCCAGGAGCTGCAAGGCCTCCATACCTGCTGCATGGGGGACCTGTAGGTGTCACCACAACCAAGCTGTGCTTCCCCCACTGCTCACCTCCCCATCTCTGCCCTTCCAGGAAGATGGAGCCCACATCGGTGAGAACCAAAGTGCCCTCCTTCCTGTCCGACCTGGGCAAGGCCACGCTGAGAGGCATCAGGAAATGTCCCCGCTGTGGCACTTACAATGGCACCCGTGGGCTGAGCTGCAAGAACAAGAACTGTGGCACCGTCTTCCGCTACGGCTCACGCAAACAACCCGGGGTTGATGCTGTTAAGATCATCACTGGCTCCGACCTGCAGCTGTACTCAGTGCGCCAGCGGGACCGGGGCCCGGATTATCGCTGCTTTGTAGAGCTGGGTGTTTCAGAAACGGCCATCCAGACGGTGGATGGGACCATCATCACGCAGCTCAGCTCCGGCCGCTGCTACGTCCCGACGTGCCTGAAGGCAGCCACGCAGGGTGTGGTGGAGAATCAGTGTCAGCACGTCAAACTGGCCTTGAACTGTCAGACCGAGGCCACCCCGCTGACCCTGAAAAGCTCGGTGCTCAACTCCATGCAGGCCTCGCCCGAAACGAAACAGACTATTTGGCAGCTGGCCACGGAGCCCACGGGGCCACTGGTGCAGAGGATCACCAAAAGCGTCCTGGTGGTGAAGTGTAAGGCAAGCCAAAAGCACAGCCTGGGCTACCTGCACGCCTCCTTCGCCCAGAAGATGAGCACGAAGACGCTGGCGGAGCACAGGTTCTTCTGCTCCTGCCAGAGCCTGAAGCCTGGCAAGGCTGCCTCAGCCAAGGAGGAGGCAGCAGCACAGAGGTGCATTCACTTCTTCGCCTGCATCTGTGCCTTTGCCAGCGATGAGAGCCTGGCCCAGGAGTTTGCCGACTTCCTCACCTATGACTCAAGCGGTATCTGAGGCTGATTCAGGGATTTTGAGAGGGGAACAAATGGGGAGCCAAGGGGAGCAGGCCACACTATTGCTCCTGCTCACGCCACAGCCAGTGCTGGCCTGAGGGCAGCCCTCACACCTGCTCCCCTTGGGCGCTTTGTCGATTGGGGCTTCATTTCCTGCTCACCACCCCCCCACCCAGGAAGCACTCAGGCTGTGAGATGCCTGTGCAGGCGTGAGAGCAGAGCAGGGGGCTGCCCTGGGGGACGGGTCCCCTTTGCTTTGCTGCAATCGATGCTTGTAGCAAGTGGAGCTTCCTCTTCTGGGATGGGAACTGGGTGTCTTCTTCCTTTTGGGCAAGAGCAGTGAAGCTGAAGGTGTTGTGAAATTCACATGGGGCAGAAGTCACTGGGTTTGTGTGCTCTGCAGCCTGGAGGCTGCACCCAGCTGGTCCCACTGAAAGCATTTGGAATGGTCCCTAACTCAGACTGCTCCGGGTGAATTAACCTGAGCTAATTAAAACCACTTCCCATCTCAATGTTGCTAGGTTCAATAGTGCTTAGGGTGCAGCATTGCTCCCTTCAATCCCTCTGGGGACAACACACAGAGCCCAGTGGGACCCGAGCTGGGAGCAGAACATGGTTAGTGCCCAGGAGCCCCAGCAGTGATCCCTCCCCATTTGCCAGCTCTCTTTCCACCCCCAGGAGAGCTGGCTGTCTCTGCAGCCTAATCTTTCCCCTCTGGGCTTTTCCCCTGGTTTTGGTTCTGGTTTTCTGTGTGGTTTTTGCAGGCAGCAACTCAGGATGTGGGAACTCCACGTGCAGCAGTCGGCACGTTTGCTGCTCGGTGCTTTGGGGAGCACTCCCTGTCTGTCAGGTGAAGCTGAAAACAAGCCAAACCCCAAATATTTGGCTCAAGGCTCCTGTTTTTCTTCCCCAGTGCCTCTGTGTGGATCAGTCCTGCCAGATCCATTCAGACAGACCAGTTATGGAGTGTGGGGTGGATGTAATCCTCCCAGCAGGGCAGCACTTGGCGAGGTGGAGCAGAGGTGCTTTTAATGACTGACAGCTGTTCCTCCTAGGTCTGAAGGGGATCGCCGTCCCTCAGTTGGCTTGTGGCCCTGAGTCCACCCTGCAGGCTGGCGAGGCTGCCAAGGCCAAGAAGAGGAAAAAGGACTTAACGCCTGGTGAGTGGCGCAGTCAGCAGGGATGGGCATCTGAGGCCCATTGTGTGGGCTGTGGTGTCAGCACTGCGTGTGCCCCAACCTGCCCTCCTTTCCCCAGGGCCTCTCCTGGCTCAGGACTCGGCTGGCCTAAGGAGAAGCAGCCTGAAGAAGCCCACGGTTGCTGCCTCACTGAAAAGGCAAGGTAGGACTTGGCTCCACACTCCAGATTTTTTGGTACTGGTGGTGGTGATGTCCAGTTACCCATCCCAGATGGAAATGGGGCAAAGTTGGATTTTTTAGGGATGAATACTTGTTGAGAAAGAACGTCAGGGCTCTGGCTGCCCACCTGGCTCTGTGCAAGGCAGCATGCTGCAGGGAAAGGAGATGCAAACTGCCATAGCAGTGTCCTCCTCAGGGGATTCTCCTTGGCATGTGTGTCCTAACTTATCTCTGAGCACTCACAGGTGTGTGCTGGATACGCAGGGAGAGAAGGGTCAGTATGGCACTGCAAAATCCTTTGGGTGAAAAACCCAAATCCAGGCAGCTGGAGCTGATGTCTCTCTCCTTTGCCTCACAGGTTGTAACCAACTTTTGGACGAGTCACAAGTTACCCTGTCCTTCCAAGACTGGCTGGCCAGCGTCACTGAGCGCATCCATCAGACCATGCATTACCAGTTTGAGGGTAAGCAGGGCTTTGGGAGCACGGTGGGAGCCTCCTTCCAGCTCCTGACTGTGAAATAACTTTAGCCCAAAGGGAGGCACCTGCTTTGCTCAGCTCAGAGCAAATGTTATTTTTACCCGTTGGCTTTGATTGGTTCCCCAAACATGGTGTTAGCTTCACAAAAGCCTGGTGTTTATTGCTGAGGGAAGGGAGAAACTCCCTTAGAGGTTATTTATTCTTGAAGAACCCGCCCAGAACCAGGCAGAAGAGGTGACGTAAGGTAAGGTAAGGTGAGGTGCCTCACGTGGCATCTGAGAAATGCTCCCTCACCAGTCTGGAGCATGCTGCTGTCCCCCACGTGCCCTCAGGGCAGAGCTCTGCACAGGGTTGTGCACAGGCAGCTACAGGTGATGGCTGTTTCTGCATCCCCTGTGGCATGCAGGTCAGCCACGCCACTTCCTGCAGGGCACGTGGCTACAGAGCTCAGCAGAGCTGTGAAAATCCTCACAGTGGGGCTGTACTGCCTAAGGCTCCCAGCTGCTGCAAGCTGTGCATGCCTGGCCTGTGCACAGATCCTGCTGGGTCTTCCTGAAGAGGACAAACACATTTAGGGGGTCTCTTTCCAAACCCTGTAAGAGCAATGTCAGTTTGTCAGGGAGGACACGCTCTGCTCTCTGGCAGATATCTCTGAGGTGTCAGGCATAGGAGTTCAGTGATGTCCTTGGCCTGCAGTGAGCTGCTCACCCACTGAAAGAAAGCCCTTTCTGCTGCCCTGCTGTGCTCCTCCAGACAAAACAGAGCCTGCCAAGGGGGAGAAGGGATGGCAGCAGCTGACAGAGAGCCAGGGCTGCTCAGCCTGGGGAGGTGGTGCCCAGAGGTGGAGTTGGTGGAGGCTGTGCCCAGCATTGTCCACAACTGGGCCAAGACCACAACACAAGAAAGTAAATGTAAAACACATCACTGGCAGTGGAATACCAGCACTGCTGTTCCAGCCAGATGCTGGTTTCCACCTGAACACGCACTTCTTTCCAACCTTTTATTTGCCTGCAAGCAGCAGTGCCTCTCTTGCCCTAAGCCCTGCCCTCTCTGTGACCATGCAGGCAAACCCGAGCCGTTGGTGTTCCACATCCCACAGGCGTTCTTTGATGCACTGCAGCAGAGGATATCCAGTGGGAGTACAAAGAAGAGGTTGCCCAACTCCACTACAGGTAAGAAACTCTCTTATACATTGCAAGCACTCTGCAAGGAAAAGCCAGCAGGAAGCTGACACCGCCTCTTGTTTCTAGCAGCCTTAGGGGCAGAAGGCTCCGCTAAGCAGGAGCCACAGCCTGTGCTCCCAGTGGGGCTGTAACAGCTCCAGCCTTAGTGCAGCCTGGCTGCAGGCTCAGCACTTGGCCAGTGGCTGCAGCTGCGTAACAGTTTGACTGGTGTTAGAGCTGGAAGAATAAAGGCAGCAGAGACTCAGAGCAAACAGCGTCTTCCCTGCAGCTTCTGCTCAGTTCTGCTGCTGCTTTTGAGCCAAGTGGACTGCAGAGCACTTGATCTTAAGTGTTTCTCTCCGCTGCTTTACACTTCACACTAATGTAAGACAATGCTTGAGCAGCCACGCAGAGCTCTCAGCACAATTACCTGCAGCATTCCGACTTCAGGAGCACCACTGGGCCCCCAGCTGAGTATAAAAAGCCCGCAGACACCGAGCAGTCCCCGAGTGCCAAGCCAGCTTTACTTCTTTATTGTGCTCTTAACTGAGACCAGGAGGAGAGTCCAGAGCTCAGTGCAAAGCAGCAGACTGAGGGCTCGCCTCCCAGCCAAGGCAAAGCTCTCTCACTGCAGCCCAGAAGGAAAAAGAAGTGAGGAAAAGCAAGTTGCATCACCAGCCTCACTCCTTCCCCCCCACCTTTAACTGCACTTTCCTTCCCCATAGCATTTGTCCGCAAAGATGCCCTTCCCCTGGGGACCTTCTCCAAATACACGTGGCACATCACCAACATCCTGCAGGTCAAACAGATCTTCGATACGCCCGAGGTAAGGGGGAACTCACACCCCACCCTGCACTGCCCACACATTACCGAACCCTTCACCCCAGTGCTTCCCAGCAGCTGCCACTGGAGATCACACGAAGCTTCATCCAGAACCGGGATGGCACCTACGAGCTCTTCAAGTGCCCCAAGGTGGAGGTGGAGAGCATCGCTGAGACGTACGGGCGCCTGGAGAAGCAGCCAGCCATCCGCCCGCTGGAGCTCAAGACCTTCCTCAAAGTGGGTAAGTGAGGGAGGGAATCCTCCTCTCAGCCCACCTTTGGGGGGGGATTCTTCCCCCTACTGTGCCAGGGCAGGCCCAGCAGCACCGCCATGAGATCTCAGCACAGATGTTGGAGGAAGATACCAGCTGGATGTGCACCTCCCTGCCTGGGGCTCCACCAAGCAGCAGTCATCACCACGGAGCCCCCCAGGCATTAAGGAATGCCTCCAGACCCCACCGAGGAGACAGACACCTTCACCAGGAGGGGTTCTCCCCTTCAAAACTCCGCACAAAGGAGTCCTACCATAGCTGGGGGTCTCCCCCTCACACAGCTCTGCCCATAAGGGGCTCTCCCCCAGACCTGCACCCAGAGGCAGTGCCCCCCAATAGGTGGCCTTTCCCCACCCACTGAACTACACAGGCACTGATAAGCCCACCCCCCCCAACATCTCTGAGATGAGTTCTGTCACCATCTCCACCCCCCTCCCACAAAAAAGCAGCCACAGAACTGCATGATTTCACCTTTACAAGTCCAGATGCCCATTACACACATGCCCCAGAAACACAACCCCTGCACCAACAGCCCAAAGAACACCTACTCCACCAACAGGGTAAAGCCCAGGGCCCCCCACTCACCCTCTTTTTCCCCCCCTCCCCTGTAGGAAACACCTCTCCCACCCAGAAGGAGCCCACCCCTTTCATCATTGAGTGGATCCCCAACATCCTACCTCACTCCCACATCGGAGAGCTGCGCATCAAGTTTGAGTACGGGCACCAGGGTGGCCGTCAGCCCCCCACCTCCTTCTCCACCCAACAGCCACCAGCACTGGAGCCCACCCTGGAACTCGCTCCACTCACCACCATCACCTTCCCCTGAGCTCCAGGACTGCACTCCAGAACTGCCACCACGGCCACGTCAGCCCGAAAGAGAGAAAGAAACCAAGCACAAAGCTGCTGCCGCACCTGGAAAAATAAAAAGTGCTGCTTACCAGGTGCACGCTGCTCCTCTCTGCACCCAGGAAAGCAAGCTGGGAAGGGCACAGGGGGCTGCAGAGCACACTCACAGCCAGGGAAGCCCCAGCTTCAGCCCAGAGCTAGGGGAGGGGGAAATCAGTGCAGAGCAAGGACCTGTGGGGAGCAGAGAGCAGGGATGGGGGTCCTGCCACCTCTGGGGGACCACTGCCAGCATTTACCTGAACTTCAGCCTCTCCTTGCTTGCATCCTCCAGCAGAACCCAGCTGCATCTTCTCCATGGATGGAGGAGGGCAATGCCAGGCTCATTCCCTCCCTCAGGTTGATGAGCTGCACCTGGACTTGGGGGGAGACCCCCAACTCCTGCAGGAAGGGGCTGCAGGCACTGCACCCCCACCAGCACCGCCCCACCGCATCCCACCCCTCCTCCTGACAGCAGCACACGGACATTCGTACTGAAATAATTTATTTTCTAACAATCCAACAATACAGAAGTATACATACACACGGCCAGGTCTGTCTAAAACACGTACTCTCTAAAAAAACGTGTGTGCTAACTTGTAAGAAAAAAAAAAAAAAAAAAATGAAGCACCATTATATGGTCTTGACACAGGATTGGTAGTGACGTGCTATGTACAACGGGAATTGAACGCCTGGAAAGGAAATCTTGCATCCTCCCATCTGCTGCTCCCCTTTCACTCCGTGTCTATCGCTCAGAAGATGCCAGAACTCAAAAGTGATGCTAAAAAGCCAAGGAGTGGGGTTTGGGTCTTGGGGGCAAATTGGAAGGAAAAAGAGGGGAAAAAAATAACCAGGAAGGGCAATGAAAATGCATCAAAAGCCACTGAGGTGGGGAAGGCTCCTGAGGTGGGGATGGAGAAGCCTCTGCTGCTGGCTTTGTTCTGCCCCAGATTGAGGGTTGGGGATGGGATGGGGACAAATGCCCAGGGCTGGGGGCTTCCCCATCCCCAAGCAGCGCGGTTTGGACTCGCACGTCTGTGTAAACGCAGGGGGTTCTCCTCGCTTCCCCCCTTTTTTCCAACAATCTACAAAAAAATCTCATTGCTGCAGCTTATCTCTGAGTAATGCTGGTGGATCCGTGAATTCAAGGAAAGGCTGGCGGCCCCAGGACGCTGCGCCAAGCTCACCTGGAGTTTTGGGGGAATAGCCCGTGGTTTTAGGTTCGACCTTTGTGCCCATCCGACACCAGCGCATCGTTTGCCAAAGGTTTGAGTTTGTGGGTTTATTTTTTTTCGATGCTGGTGTGTTGGAGAGGAGCACGTCCAAACAGTGCAAAGGTCAGAGGAGTACTGCTTCATATTGGGACAAAAAGAGAATGAAAAGGGGGGAAAAAAAAAAAAAAAAACAATAGAAAACCACAACCAAAACCAACACGTGGTTCTTCACCAAAAGAACGCGGTCAACCCAAAAAGGCACAACACAAAAAATAACAATTAGAGTCTAAACCTTAACACTCGGTATAACTAAGTGGAGAACGAAGCGCACGTTTCCTCCTGTTTCCCCTTGGAGTGCATTGGGTTGGAATTGGGATTTTGGCAGTGCTCACAAGAAAGGGGCTGGAGAGGGCTCGAGCCATCAGAGCAGCACACCTCCAAGTGCAGATATTCAGCTTTGCCCATGGGTTTTTGTCTTCTTGGGGTGGGCTCCTGTGGGTTTCCATGGGTTTTTTTCTTTGGGGGTGGTTTCCATCAGTTTTTGTATTCTTGGGATGAGTTTCCATGGGTTTTTGTCTTCTTGGGGTGGATTTCCTTGGTTGTTTTTTTTTGTCTTTTGGGGGTGAGTTTCTACGGGTTCTTGTATTCCTGAGGTGGTTCCATGAATTTTTGCTTTCTTGGGATGGGTTTCTGTGGGTTTCCATGTTTTTTGTCTTCTTGGGATGGGTTTCCACGAGTTTTCATAGAAACACAGCATGGCTTGGGTTCAAAGGGACTCAAGGACCATTAAGTTCCAACCCAGGGCTGCCCACTGCTCAATCACATAGTAGATAAGGTTGCCCAAGGCCTCATTAAATACCTCCAAAGAGTTTTCTCAAGGAGTCGGAATGACTTCTGAGCCCCACGTGGATGTTCCATCCCCATCACCAAAGCGTCCAACGTTGAGCACAAGAGATGGAGTAGGAAAACCCTCAAAGAAACCTCTGCATCTCCCTCAGAGGACTCTGCTTACAACGATCCCAGAACATCTCGTAAAGCATGAAATCATGTCAAAGAAAATGAAGAAATACTGTTTGTAGACCACACATTCTACGTACACGTGCTCGTGTTGGCTTGTTGGCTTCGAAGCATCGGCACGGCTGGAAACCACAGCCTTGGGGCCAGGGGAAAGGGTTGGCCTTTTCTTTTGGCGTCTGGTTGTGGCTCTCTCTGGTGGAAACCCAAATCCTCAGCATGGAGAGCGCCCAAACACAACCCGAGGGCTGGGCAAGTGCTTCACACAGCAGCGCCGCTCAGAGCGCCGCCACTTATTGCTAAATCGCGCGCGACGGATGCGATGGGACCAAGCAGCGCTTCTATAAAACAATGAGGCATCTCGTTTGTTTGTTTTGTGCTAAAGGGATGGAGATAATCTTTGTTCATCTCTCCGAGGTAGAAAAAAAATTGTCCCAGAGACAAGAAGCGCCAAGGCCGTCCTAAGACACGCAGCCGTAACGCAGGAGGGCACAGCGCGAGGACAGCACCATTTGGTTTTGAGGCATTCCAGGAACTTCCAGAGCTGGAGATGTCCATCCCGAGGCTGCTGGGAGGAGCAGAGCCTTTTGCTTTGCAGGAGGGGTCCGTTGCTACCCTGAATTTTTAGAGTCGGTGGAGGGAGGGCCACCGACTGATTCTCCGTTGCAGACCTCCCTCTGCTTTCTCCCTGCTCCAAGCTACCAACAAGGCTGGGTCTCACCCACAAAATGCATATTTGGGCCCTGGTGCTGATTGTTAGTGGGCAAACACTACAAAGATCCGGAATAGCGAGCGGTAACAGCAAAGCAAAGGAAAGCTGAGCTCATCCAGCATTGCTGTTACCGCTGCGATATTCCTGGGCGCACCAAAACGGGGCTGGAATGTTTGGTCTCACTGAGATGAGCTTCCCGACGGGGCGAGAAGCGAGTGGGCACGATGGGCTGCCAGGGAGAAGCTCAGCACCCACAGCCCTGCTTGGGACTGGGGCAAAGCAGACTTCGTGTCAGCGGCACAAGGGAACTGCGGGACGGTCTGGTTCGCTACCAACCGGGAAAGAGCGGTGGGTGGAAGAGCTGCGGGGTCTGATCCTTAGAGAGCGGGGCACAGCTTGTGAGCACTCTGCACCTTTGCCCTCCGCACGCCCGAGCTGGCGTAGCCCTCATCGCTGCACACACTCTGCAGGCTGCCACGCTCATCCGAGTCGCTGGGGCTGCTGCTGCTCCAGTCGAGGTCTGCAGGCAGGGAGTCGGTGCTCTCCACGTCCACATCAATCTCTTCTGCAAGCAGAAAACGAACAGCATCACGAGGAGCTCAGTGGGACCTCCAAACGCTGCCCTTAGGCGTGCGGGTCTCACCTCTGTCCGAGTCGGAGCGCTCCGAGGACACGGCGGAGCCGACGCTGTCGGTGCGGATCCTCTCACTGCCCAACTTCTCCAGCTGCCTCTTCAGGTGCCGCTGCTCACGCTGCAGCTGCTCGATCTGGTGGAGGGCTCTCCTGTCATAGTCCTCGAGCTTCTGCAGAGGGGAGAAACGGATGGAATGGTTGGAAGAGACCTCAAAGGTCACAGAATCATAGAATCATGGCATGGTTGGGTTGGAGGAGTTCTTAAAGATCAGAGAATCGTGGAATCACAGTATGGTTGGGTTGGAGGAGTTCTAAAAGGTTGTAGAACTATAGAATTATAGAATGCTTGAGTTGGAAGGGTTCTTAAAGGTCGCAGAACCATAACATTATAAAATGGTTGAGTTGGAATGGTTCTTAAAGGTCATGGAATCATGGAATCACACCAGGGTTGGGTTGTAAGGGTCCTTAAAGGTCACAGAAACACGGAACCGTAGAATGGCTGGGTTGGAAGGACCTCAAAGGTCACAGAATCAAGGCATCACAGCATGGTCAGGTTGGAAGGGATCTTAAAGGTCACAGAACCATGGAACTCTAGAATGTTTGGATTGGAAGGGACCTTAAAGATCAGAGTCATGACCTCACACCACGGTTGGTTGGAAGGGACTCCCAAGCCCCTCCAGCCCCAACCCATGCCATGGGCTGCCCGCCACCCACCAGATCAGGCTGCCCAAGACTCCCAGGCCCTTTCAGAACCAGATTGCTGCTGATGCAACCCCATGGCAGACAGAGCTGACATGCCAACAACACTCTCTCCTCTGAACAGTTTCTATGCAGTGCTTTTTTCTATTTCTTTTTTCTATTTCCAGGCTCTGATAAGGCACTGGTGTCCCGCCATGCTACCATGGTTATCTGCTGCTTCATAAAACCAAATGTGCTCGGTGAGAGTCACAGTGTAAGGAGCAAACCATAAAGCAGTCAACACACCAGGAAGCCACACGGTGCCCATCAAGTAGGAACAATGCTGAGGGCTTTGGGGATGCTCTGCACGAGCAGCTTTCTCCAAGCCCTCTGCTCTCCAGGGACTTTTGGTGCCACCAGACTCACCTTGATGTGCAATTTGGCTTTCATGAGTAAACTCAGCGTGGTGTGCTTGCTGGATTCGGGGCCAAGTGGCACCAGCACCTTCAGCTTCTCCAAACACAGCCGCAGGTGGGCACGCCTGGAAGAAAACCATCAGAGTGCTCAGCATACCCCAACATCACATGACATCTCGACCTCCACATCAGTGGAGGAACAGCAAAATAAAACTGCTCCTGCTACATCCAGCTGCAAACCCAGCACATCCCTCGAGCTTCTTTTGGGTCAGAATCAAACAATTTGCAGCACTCCATGCTCCCACCTGCACGGATGGCAGCGCAGATGCCCTGTGCTCAGCTCCCCAGCCCCAATATTCCGGTTCTGTTCCCATTGCAACACCGCCTGCGCCGTACCCCACTGACACACTCAAGGCAGATGGGGATGTTGCAACGACCTGCCTATCTCGTTCCACACGCAAATAAACAGGCATTTGCCTGCACTGAGTGCCTCCTGCATGACAGTGCCAACAAAACACGTGCTCGTGCTGTTGGGGTCAATCCCAAACAAAGCTGAGCCTTCACAGATGTTGTTTTCCATCAGCTGGGGCTGCGCCGACCTGCAGGAGATCCATCCACACGTGGGAGGTGAGCAGCCAGCCCAGCTGCATGCACTGGGGATGAGAATCTACCACAAAGGTGTCCCCAGAGAGGGACAGCTGCTCACACCCAGCTCAGTGCCTACACAGAGCTCTCCAATGAGGAACCACTCGGGTGCACCCAGCAGCTCACCGGGGGGAGACGTGTGATTTAAACCTACCCCTGGAACGTGAAAAAGCCACAGAACAATTCCAGCTGCCTGTCCCACGTGGGCTGAGCATACAGAGCTGCAGCACACACCGAGGCACAAAGCAACACCAGGGGCACAGCATGGCACGGCTCCTGGAATAGGTGTGGGGCAGCCCTGATGTGCAACGGAAAAGAGATTCCACGCGGATCCCAGCCCATTCTCACCTGTTCTTTTCCATCTCATTGTGTGTTGACCTGAAAAAGAAAGGATTTTGTGAAATGCGTGTCTTGAGGAGGGTGGCAGACAGCTGGGGTCCCTGCAGAGGGGGTCACTGCACCCAGGATGACAAATGTGGTGGCAGAGAGGCTGGCAGGGAGAGGTACCCAGAGAGATGGCAGTGCCAGGGACTGGAAACCCAACTGAGGTGGTCTGGATGGGGAGGGGCTTGCTGCTGGAAAGGAGAGCAGCAGCACAGGAGAGCACAAAGCAACGCCAACAGCACAGGCAGTAGCACCCAACACACACACACTCCCTGGATGAGTGGCTGTAAGGGAGAGGAGGAAGCAAAGGGGCCCAACCACCGCTCAGCAGCACCGTGCAGGAAGGGGAAGCTCTCCTCATCCTAACGCCAACCCCAAGCACAACTCCAGTGCACCTCCGAGGCACGTGAGCAGCTCCAAAGCACAAGTCCTGCTGCTCCCATTCCTTGTGAGCAGTGCTAAAATGAGGAATGAAGCTCCACATCTTCCCAGAAAGGAACCTCGGAGCGCTCGCTGACTGCGGTCAGGATGGGGACATCCTGCTGTCACAGCTGGCAAAGGTCACCCGTCCCCACGCGACGTGCGCCGGAGCAGGACGCAGCGCCGTGCCCGTGAGATGGCAGAGCTGCTCCTCCCTGAGCAAACAGCAGGAAGGAGCCGGGAGGAGTGGCTGCGATTCGCCACAAGTGACATTTCGGGGCAAAAGCGCTCCTCCCCAACAAAGGGTTTGGATCTTAATCTCATCTGCCACTTTGAGAGCCCCCAAACGGAACCCGAGCACCGTGCACCACACCAAAGCAAAGCCCAAAATCAAGAGCCCAGCATCAGCATCCTGGTCTGCCACGTCGTCTGACTGCACCTTCAGTCCCCAACAGAGGACATCCCCAGTGTGCCCACCCCCTGCCCGGGGTGTGGAGGGGTGGCAGGGGGTGCAGAGCCACCACGCAGCTCTGCGGGGTCCCGGGGGAGGACGAATGCTGGTGGTGACAGCAGTGCCCTCATGGGTGCCCCGCAGCCCACAGCTCTGCCACAATGGGGCAGCCCAGCAAACCACGATCCCTCAAAGCCAGCTGCGTCTCCTCCAGTCCCCCTCCCCCCCACCCCACCTGGCACCCTGTGATCACCAGGTGACAGCAGCACCTCCTGTGTCCCCAAGGGTCCCCACCAGAGCCCCAAACCCCACTGTGTGCTCTGTGACATCCCAATAGACTCTGAGCATCCAATGACAGCAGCGTCCCCAGGATCAGGGACAGGTGCCAATCATCCCCAGAGCTGCCAGACCCTCAGGACAGGGACACCAACAGACCCTGACCCTGATCTCTGGGTATGAGCAGGTGCCCCCATGCCCCCAGATCAGCCTGGAGCCTTCTGTTAGGCCCCAACTGACAGGTGCTAGCAGCATCCCCAGTGCTGCCAGACCCCCAGCAATAGGGACCCCGATAGACCTCACTGACAGCAGGGCATTCCCCACCCCACCTGGCACCCTATGACAGCTCCTGACTCCCAGCTTTCAGCGGAGACCCCAAAGTCCCCCCCCAGCCCTCCCAGCCCCCCATGGCAGTGGGATTTCAACAAGCCCCAACAGATCCCAATCTCTGGATGCAAGCAGAGCTCTCCTCATCCCCAGATCAGCCTGGTGCCCCATGACAGCTGCTGACCCCCAGCTGACAGCAGGTCCCTATGGGTCCCCGTGGGTTCCTATGGGTTCCTACGGGTTCCTATGGATCCCAATGTGTTCTTAAGGGTTCCTATGGGGTTTCTATGAGTCCCTATGGGTTCCTATAAGTCCCCATGGGTTCCTATGAGTCCCTATGGGTTCTTATGGGTCCCAATATGTCCCTATGGGTTCCTATGGGGTTCCTATGGGTCCCTACGGGTCCTGATATGCCCCTATGAGTTTCTACGGGTCTCTATGGGTTCCTACGGGTTCCTAGGGGCCCCTATGAGCTCCTATGGGTTCCTATGGGTCCCGATGTGTCCCTATGGGTTCCTACGGGTCTCTATGGGTTCCTATGAGTCCCTATTGGTTCCTATGGGTTCTTAGGGGCCCCTATGGGTTCCTATAGGTTCCTATGAGTCCCTATGGGTTCTTATGGGTCCCTATGGGTTCCTAGGGTCCCCTATGCGTTCCTACGGGTTCTTATGGGTCCCTATGAGTCCCGATGTGTCCCTATGGGTTCCTAGGAGTCCCTATGGGTCCCTATGGGTTCCTAGGGTCCCCTGCGGGTTCCTACGGGTCCCCCCCCCTCCTCCCGGTACCTGCCGCCCCCGCCGTTCCTCCGGCCCTTCCCGCGGCGCCTCGGGCTCTCCCTGCGGGCTCGTCCAGCTCCGGGCAGCAGCGAGGCGTAGCCGTGTTCGGCCTCTGTGGGGACACAACGGGAACGGGCAGCGCCGGGAGGAACCGGGAGGTGCCAAAAGGGGCACGGCGGGACGCCGGTACCTCGCTCCCGCCGCTCCAAGTATTCGGCCGCCTCCAGGAGCAGCCCGATGCTGGACCCGACTCCGGACCCGTCGTCACCGACCGCCGCCATCGCCGCGCTGCGGGGCCGGGCCGGGCCGCGCCGGGGTGAGCGCCTCGCCCGGCCGCTCCGTCAGCCCCGCCCACCGCCGCCTCTCATTGGGTGCCGCCCCTCCGTCGTTTTTCGCGATTGGAAGGTTGGGAGACACGCCCTTCCGCGATTGGTTCGGCCCCGAGGAAAGCCCCGCCCCCGCCCGCCGTCGACGATCAGACGGGCCCTCCGGGTGGGCTCGCTGTGATTGGCTGAGCCGGAAGGCTCCGCCCACGGGGCTGACTCACTTCCTGCCTCCTGCAGCCAATGGGAGGGCGAGGAGCGGGCGAGGGGGCGTGGCTCCGGCGCCAGGTGTCAACGTGGGGCTGACGGGGAGCGGGCGGGGACCCCCAGGACCCCCCAGGTTTCGGGACCCCCCCAGGGCTGGAGACCCCGTAAGAAGCAGGAACCTCCCGGAGCGCTTCCCTACCAGCAGATCTCCCTTAAAAAGCTACGAGCCCTCCCGAGCTGGGACCCCCAAGGACAGGACAGGAACCTCCTTGAGATCCCCCCCAAAAAACAGCGCCCGAGGCCACAAGGGAGCGCGTCCCCCCCTCCTCCAATAAGCACAGACCCCTGGGGCTCCCCTGAGAAGCAGAAAGTCCCTATAAGTAGCGCCCCCCCCCATCAGCAGGGACCCCCTGAGCACCCAAAGCTGCTGCCCTTTATTCAATGCACCCCCAGCAGCAGGGAACCCCCCCCCCCCCCCAACCCAAGCAGCGTTTTTGCCCCAATGGGATGAATTTTGGGGAGGGGGGGGAGGCAGCTCAGCATCATTTCCTCCCCCACACCCCGAAACCCAGCCCTGCCCTGGGGTGACTCACCCACCTCGGCCACAGCATGGAAACCAGATAAACCTGGGTGTGTGTGTATGGTGGGGGGGGGGGGCGAAAGGGGGGCACAATGCCCCAACCTCACCCTTAAAAAAAAATACCTTCAACAGCAAAACGCTGGCGTGGTGATTTAGGGGAAAATAGGGTGGGATTTGGGGGGTGAGGTGATCCCAGCTGGCTGTGAGCTTCCTGAAAGCGACCAAAAAAATGGGGGGAAAGGGGGGGGGGG